GCGTGCGTGCGTGTGTGTGCGTGCGTGTCTCTCTGTCTGTGTGTGTGTGTGTGTGCGCGTGTCTCTGTCTCTGTCTCTGTGTGTGTGTGTGTCTGTCTGTCTGTCTGTCTGGGCGTGTGTGTGTGTGTGTCTCTGTGTGCGTGTTCTTCTGCTACTGATTGCGTACAATTCGAATTGTTGCTCCATGCGCTAACCTCCCGGAATTATCCCTTGCTTGATTATAATGCGTTCGGCTTGTACTCTTATCAGTGCATCAGAAACCACAGAATTGCCTGCTTTGTCCCCTACTGCCCTAAACCCTAAACCCTAAACCCCATACATGCCAGACTGCTATAAAACATACACTGCCACACACTGCCATACTGCTGCTGATTCCTCTGCTCCAGAGCTTACTGCTTCTACTCCTGCTGCTTCACCACCACCACCGCCAGCACCACCACCACGACGACTACTACTACTGCTGCTACTACTACTACTACTACTACTACTTATACTGCTGCTACTGCTACCGCTACTGCTACTGCTTCACCTACTGATACTCTTACTGCTACTGCTGCCGCTGCTGCTGCCGCTACTGCTACTGCTTCAACATTGCTACTGCTACTGCTGCTGCTGCTGCTGCTGCTGCTGCAGCTACAGCTACTACTGAAATGCTACTAATACGCTACAACGATTGCTAGCACTAGTCTATTCCTTCTGCCAGTACTAAGGACTACGACTGCTGCTTCTGTAATTACCACGATTGAACACGACTACAATTAACCGTGCTTAGCATAGCGGAACCCGTGCTAGTAGCTCTCATTCGCGGTGTTGCTTTGGGTGTTCTGAGTATGTCGAGGCCGCGACCATGCTATTAAGAACGGCCACAGCAGAGCCGCTGGCTTTGGACACCACCTGGGGGGGATCTTTTTGGTTCAGAGCAGCTCTTACCACAAGCTAGGCAAGGAGCGGGCCTTCTCAATGAGAGACGAATGGGTGTACAGGAAGTCCCCATGATCACTCTCCTGATGCAGCAGATCGTCACTGGAATTCTCCGAGCTCCTCTTGCTGTCCTTGAAGAAGCGTCGGTAGGTTCCCCAGTCGTAGCCATCCTCGCCTGGTAAAGGCTTTCAGATAGATGTGTAGTGTATGTATATATACAGATATGATACGATAGCGACATCGATATACAAATATGTGACATAGTTATTTTATATGTACATATATATATACATATGTACACATGCAAATGCATGGGTTAGTGTGTACGTGTATACATATATATATATACGCATACATACATACATACATACGTACATACATACACACAGACAGACTCCTGTCATACTGCAAGGTGCGCCCAAGCCAGGGGCTCAGTTCGAGGGCGGATAGGCGTCCGAAGTCGAAGACCTGGCTGGCAAGAGAATTCGCAAGTGACACGATTGTCCTGGCCTGAATCCTTTTGTGCTTGCGACAACCCGTTGAAAGCTGCTGAGCCAGCTGCTTTCTCCGCCTGCACGCACGTACGTCCACATCTGACGTTCTGCCACACGTATATACACACCTACGTATTCGGCTTGCCCCAACAGCCCGAAACGCCGCACCCGTGGATGCAAACACTGCTCAAATATGTCAAGCTGGGCTCGTGGATTGAAGACGCGAGGACATTGCATTGAGCTTGCCTTCCACATGCGGCTCATCAAGGCAAGCTGCGCACGGGCGCGACCTAAGCAGGCTACGAACAAGAATGAGGCGAGACCGGCTATCATGACAGGATGATGTGCACGGTGACAGTGAAGCACTTGTTGTTCAATCAACCTAAAGAAAAGAAGGAGGTGACGAAAACAACGACATGACTAAGTCAAAACCCTTTGTTATGCTTAGCATGTTGGTACCGTTTCATCGCACTGTTTCATGGCGCCTATGGAGTGCTAGGATATTTAAGCTACCAAGAAGGATACAATCTCATAGAACTTGAAATCCAACAGGGCTAGACTGCTCCTAACAGAAAACAGCAGTAAACAGGCTGCATTCAAGGTGCCACGCAAATCTAACGAACAAGAGCAACGCTGACAAGACGAAGAGGCACCACAACAGAAGGATGAGGAAGATACCCTAAACCCTAAACCCTAAACCGTTGACTCGCCCAGCTCCCCAGTAGACTTGCTTGAGCCAGCTCGCTCATCTTCTCGCCGATGATCGCAACCATGTCGAACCCAGGCCGGAGGTTGCTCAGCTCGACCTTCAACTCTTTGCCAATTCTCGGTCGTTTAGGGTTTAGGGTGTGGTTATGCTGCGAGTACCTTGCTGCAAGCTCTATGCCGCCTCCATTTGCTGTTGCGCCTGGACTGGAAATACCCAGACGCGGCCTCACAGCGAGTATAGGCACTTCACGTGGCGCTGGATTGTGGGCACCTTCTATAGTATGCTTGGTTTTATGGTATTGTAATGGATTGTGTTATAGTATATGATGTATATGCACCTTGTACATTCTCCTGCATGAGGATGGCAGGCTGCCAGTCCGCCCGGTCGTTTGCCCTCACCTGCGCCAGAAGTGAAGAACCTTGGGAAATGCCGCAGAAACCCTCCTTTGGATCACCTCCACCAAGGCTCCCTTGCTCATGGATTCCGCCTCCTCCTGCCAGGCTGGGCGGGAGCAAACACAGCGTTTCAGGGTTCACAAATTTACAGAGCACCCCTGCCTGGTCAGAATGGACTCGAGCTGGAACAACCAGCACCTGGAAGCCCATCGCAACCCAGCAGCAAATCATCGTAGTTTCTGAGCAAGCCAGCAATCACTAGCACAGACTACATCCAGAATGGCCTCCTCACTTATCGTCAGATTCTGGAACAAATCCCTGTCCTGTCAGCAGCTAGTTGTTCGGTAAGCTTCAATCCTCGCTGGAAGGGTAGGGGAGAACACCATGTGTCCATGTATTAGTCTGAGCAGCAACACATTCATGCAGAGCGCCGAGCACTGTCATTCAATCAAAGGCGACAGGACGGGAGTGTGTGGACTTGGGCTGCATTCGGTGTTCGCTATCATCGGTCCGACGGCTGTGGCTTCCACTTCAAGAGTGTCCTCGGCAGCCGGACTTGATTGCTGGCTTGATGTGACACATGCTTGCCGAGGTTCATGAAGCTGTGGCGACGGGTGCCGTCAACCATGATCCCTGCACATCCGACTGATCCGGAGCCAGGGGCGACCATTGAGCCGAAGCCTCCAAACTCCCGGGACTCGAGAAACTTGGTGATCACGAACTCGGCTCGGCGGCGCCTCGTCCGGACTGGCTGCGGCTTGCTGTGAATTCTGCTACAATGCTTCAGTCGCAGCACGCTGTGTGCAGTCACCCCTTTCCCCATGCACTGACATGGAGCATCACTGCATGAGAAACACAAGCTCCTTGCTGACAGCTCTAGACTCTGGCCCCATGTGACAGCAGGAGCAGCTGCGAGTCTTTCTGAGGCAAGAACGCCATTGCAGTGATCGCTTCGACTGTTGCCTGGTCACATCTCACTCTCAACCGGCCCGACGTCTTCTGCCGATCGCGACGGAAGCTCGCAGTGCTGCTCAAAGCCGTTCGTCGTAGCAAAACCACCATGGTCACCATGACTTAGAACATAGCTCCGGGAGATCCTCCTGCAGCCTCCCCGACAGCAACACACCTGCACTGTCGCGAGCCTGAGCCTCATTGAAGTTGACGTCGATTTTGGCATCTGCCACGGAGGCCTCTCTAAGCGGGACGTGTCTTGCAAGCAAACCGAGAGTCTAGTAGCAAGGCAACCGGAGATCCAGCGATTCAGCTCTCTTAAGCTGAGGTCGGCGCCAGGGCCATAGCCCAACTTGGCGCATCATACCCTCGGTGAGCAGCAGTCTGAAGCCGGCAAGAGACGTCCACGAGAGAATTCAAGCATTTGAGGGACGAGCCAATCTTGGAATTCAGCAGTTCGGCCTGTCACATGCTCCGCCTCTAAGACTTCCTGGCTGCGAGGATCTGAAAGCAAAGAGGGCCTGCCAGCCCTGGATGGGCACTTGGGCGAGCACTTCGGCGGAGTAGTCCTGGATGCTGCACTTGCCCAGGGCAGAGTGCTGCTCGCGCTAGCGCAGCCACTTGTGTGAAGTAGGTATGGTCTGTTCACAAGCCTTCAACTCCGAACTCCCAGGATAAGCGCCGACGACCACTACGACTACGACGGCAGTTACTACGGCTACCACGAGTATGACGACTACCACGACTACGACTACACTACTTTCACTACTTACTGCTGCTACGACTACTAGTACCACTACTACCACTACTACTACTACTACTACTACTACTACTACTGCTGCTACCACTACTGCTGCTGCCGCTGCTACTACTACTACTACTACTACTACTGCTACTACTACTACTACT